AAACAAGACTGATCTGAAACAGTGAAGATAACAATAATGCAGCTTTGGAAATAATCCAGAAGGTGATGGTATTTTAGACAATTAATATGGCCTCAACAAATTGCTTTTCCATCAAACAATTTAGTCTGTTCTTCAAACACAGGGCATATGTTAAGCAATTCTTAAGCAAAAAAAGAAAAAAATAGAAAGAATAGGGTATACATTATTATAATTAACACAGGTTTACAGTAATAAACATTATCAAAATTATAGTGATAAGCACGAACAGAACCATCCTGTATTGTACCTTTTCTAATTTAATTCCTTTTTCTAAGAAACCAAAAGAACATCTCTTTCCTACACTAAAAGAAAGGCTTTGAGCTTATAGAGGAGGACTGGTCCAAGGCTGTATTAAATAAAAGAAGCCAGAGAATAGTCTTACTTTCAAAACCTTAAGCCCAGTCCTCATTACAAAAGAAAAAATAGCAAGAATAGCTGAAACTTGCTTAGGGCTGGGCATGGTGGCTCATGCCTGTAATTCTAACACTTTGGGAGGCCATGGCAGGAGGATTGTTTGAGGTCAGGAGTTCAGGACCAGTCTGAGCATGAGTGAGACCCCATCTCTACTGAAAGTAGAAAAAGATCAGCCAAGTGTGGTGGCATATGTCAGTAGTCCCAGCTACTTGGGAGGCTGAGGCAGGAGGATCACCTGAGCCCAGGAGTTCGAGGTTGCAGTGAGCTAAGCTGATGCTACTACATTCTAACCAGGGAAGAGAGTGAGACTATCTCAAAAACAAAAACATACATATTTTGTGTGATGTAGTAGACCCACGTAGGCATATTAGATCCTTATTTCATATCCTCTTTTAAGAACTTGATTTTTAATTCTTGCCTTTGTATTTTCTGGAAGGAAAATAGCAACAATTGTTAACATTTACCTTTAAGATGTGAGAGTAAGACTGGCCAACACTATATATTTCTTGCCTTAGTACTAGTTAGGGACCCTTCTCTGATTCTCATGGGCCTCTTAGGTAATAAAGATTTTAAAAATTTGCTCTTGAACATTATCAATAGTATGAAGATAAAACCATTTAACATGCTCCCAGATCATTTTCCACCATAAAATATTGAGGGATCACTCAAGGGGGTGGGCTGTTCTCTTTTAAAACCTGACTTGTCCAAAAGGAGGCCAAGGAAGATTAGGGCCAATGAAGCTCCCATATCCACCTTGAAGAACGCAGGAAATACACTGGCACCTGATAAATCTTTATCCAGTTATCCAAAAGAATGTTTTCAAGCAAGCATGACCCGAATTATCAGGTCTCACTGCAAAAAAGAAACAAGCCATGCTACCTGCCCCTGCTACCTCCTCCAGGCACTAGCAGGAAGATGATAGGTGGGTGGGCTGGCCACCTTTCACCTCAAGAACATGCTCACAAGGTGGCTTGCTCAGTTCTGTCATGGGCAAGTGCTTTATGTAAGTGCTGGCATTTCTCTCAGCAATCATGTTCTGTAGCACAGCTTTTAGCTGAACCCTAACTGGGTGAAAATGAACTCCTGTCCTGCTTGTCTGCTCTCTGTACAGTGGGTAGTCTGGGTGCCATAACTAACCACTGGTATTTTCTTTTCTTTCTTGCCTGTAAGAGACATTAGTGAATCACTGTGAAAGCAATGACAGAATAGTCTAAAGGTTTATAATAAAAACCTTCAGAATCCTACTGCAGATATTTGTTTTTCAATTATTTTAAAATTGGGAATTGTGTCTTTCATAACTCTGAAAATTTCCCTTCACGACCACAAGTTTCTCTCCTTCCTTTCCTATTCTCTCACTTCCACTGAACTTCAATCTCCAGTCCCTAACACAGAGACAGGAAAGAAGAAATTGTAGCTTAAGAAAACATGAAACTTTATCAACTGTAGGAAATTCTTCCCACCTCTCTCCCGCCAGATGTTATACAGCAGGCAAAGGTATCCAGATATTGAAGGTTCCTTTGTGAATTGATGAAAGAGAATACTAGAAATATATGGAGCTGCTTTTACCGCAGACAGATATTATGTAGAAAATAAATGCTCAACAAGTTCTAAACAATAATGGAAATAAAGATAAGTGAGAATTGCTTTTGAAGCAGCAAAGAAAATCTAAAACCTACTTTGGGAAAGCACTGATGACTTCTGATGCAATAATATAACCTGAGAGCACATGAAGAAGACAGTTTCTCCTGATAATTATTCATTCCTCTTAGGATACCTGCTGAAGATTGTGTAGAAGGAATAAATAAAGGATCCTCCATAAATGGATGATCTGGTACTTAAAGGTTGACCAAGAAGAAATCTATCTATGTGGACCCAAGAAGAATACAAATGGAAAACAAAGATTAAGAAAATCTGAATACTTATTGTCCAGTTATAATGGTAGCCTAGGGTCACCCAACGCAGTTTCTCTAGTAAACTTCGAGGCCGCCGTTTATTCACTTCTTTATACCTGCAAAGATTGGTGACAAAATAGGATTTATTCATCTCAAATGGTAGCAATAGCCCTTTGTATAGACCCTGAAGTCTAATTTTAATATTCCATGGTATAGGCCTGTTAGCCAAGATTACGTAGGGAAATTAGAACAGATAAATGAGTTGACCAAGAATACAATGACAGTAAAAAACACATTAGCACTTCTAATTCTAGTCCTTGGCTATAAATCCTCTGCTGAATGGGATGAAGTTTAAATGATGAGTCTCTAGTATCTCAATAATGAGAAAACAAGAATGACAATAGGCTGGGCGTAGTGGCTCACACCTGTAATCCTAGCACTCTGGGAGGCTGAGGCGGGGGATTGCTCGAGGTCAGGAGTTCGAAACCAGCCTGAGCAAGACCCCATCTCTACTAAAATAGAAAGAAATAATCGACAACTAAAAATATATATATAACAAAAAAATAGCCGGCATGGTGGCGCACGCTTGTAGTCCTAGCTACTTGGGAGGCTGAGGCAGTAGGATCACTTGACCCTGGAGACTGAGGTTGCTGTGAGCTAGGCTGCCGCCACGGCACTCACTCTAGCCTGGGCAACAAAGTATAACTCTGTCTCAAAAAAAAAAAAATGAATGACAATAAAATGTCTTTATTGTCCATGGACCAAGATCACTATGGGCAATCAAAAATATATATAACAGAACATTTTCAGTTTGGTTTGCTAAAAGCAGGGTATGATTACTCAGTTATTACTATGTGTATAATGACGGTGGCTTCCCAGAATTGCAGGTTGAGGAAAAAATTTAGCAAAATATAGTATACAGTACAATAAAAAATAACTGGTTAACACAACTCTTTAACCCTGTATAACGTAGCTTAGATAATTGAGGCTGGGATAACAATTAAGGCACAACTGTAATTGATTGGTTTCTGACATACCTTGTTCAAATCACGGGAGGTTTCCGTAAAAACAGAGAGGTGCCCTTTCTGCAATTACATATTGTCTAATAAAATCTATGTGATTAACTACTCTTTTCTAAAAGGAAGCTTGTTGTGTTCACCTCTAAATATCTAAAAGTATGAAAATGTTAGGTCTAATCATTTTAGTTAATTTCTCTCTATGTAATTTACATCATTAATCCATCAAACTTTTTCTGTCCAAACCCATGGCTGTTTAAAAATAAAACTTAGATTCATTTAAGGAGTTTATATTCTGAAAAGAGGTGACACATATAAGAATGAAAAGTGAAGGAGAATGAGAGGGAAATTCAAGGCAGTATAAGTCTAGTACTGAACTGAATAGCACAGACTTTGAGGGTACTAAATTAAGAAAAAGGAGAGTTCAAAGTCAGCTGTCTAATCAGTGAAGGTTTCATGCAGAGTTGGAGTTGAGGACGGCATTGAAGAATGGCAGCATTGAAACAGGAGTGACACAATAGGCAATAAGGACACAAGCCTGAGCAAAATGAAAGGATTATTAGAGGCCGCACTGTAAGCGGCACACTCATCTTGATGCTGACAAAGAGTTTACAGAATAGATGCTATCTGTCACAGAGTTTACATTCTAAGAAGGATATCGTGACATATACATCAAGACCAGCAGATAAAAGGAATGGACAGAAACTGATTTATTTAGGACAGGTGTGCAGAAAAGAGACACAGCAGACTTGACTGAAGGACTTTCAAAGGTGGCCCTCTCAGGCATGTGGAACTTGGATGTGGAGAGGGTTCACACCATGCCTGGAACTGGTGAAAATAGTCACATTACCTTGACTGTTCGCACAAACATAAGATGGTTTATGTTGAACACCTGCTTTCTTTCTGGGAGTTTGGAATTTTGGTATGTGTCAGTCAGAGACTGCCTACGTGACAGCTTCTAGTAAAAACCTGGCACTGAGCTTCTTTTACATTTCAGATTTTGTTATATATATTTGGTTTCACTTCCTGTAAGATGGAAGCTCGCACCTGGTTTTTCCTGACTTTGCTCCATGTACCCTTTCCATTTGCTGATTTTGCTTTGTATGCTTTCACTACAATCATCTTATCTGTGGCCACAACTATATGCTGAGTCCTGTGAGTCCTGGCAAATCATCAAACTTGAGTGTGTGTCGTTTTGGTCCACTCCATGACACAACAGGAAACAGACAACTAGCAATCTAGGGAAAAAGATATGTTAAGATTTGGCCAGGGACTGCAACTAGCTATCCAAACAATTACAATATGGATAACAACCATGCAATATTTAATATCTGTGCATAAAAACTAATAAAACAAAAAATACAATGTAGTTATTAATACAACCTGAGTTTCTACAATGTTTATTCTGCTAAAAGTACAAATAAAAGAACTCCCTGATATATTTGTTCTGCTGGTCATTGCTCTTAAAAGTCTAGGCTAATTTTACTTCATGATTAATTGTCAAGATTCTCAGAAGTGAAAGATTATAGAGTCCAATCATTTTTTTAAGTTTTATGTTTTTATTTACTTGAGCTTTAAAAGCTTTAGAAAAAATAATTAAATGATAACAAGTAAATCAAAATCCCTGGAAGTAACTTACCTGAATGACAGTAGGGGTTTGGAGTGGTCTAGTTCAGATTTGTCTACATGGATTCCCAGCGTGGAGTCCAAGCGGTAGTAATTCAGGATACCTGCTTCGGCTCGGAAACCTTGAAATCCACAGGCAGCAGCTACTTGCTCTGAGAGGAAAGCCAGGTCAGAAGGGAAAGGTGTATAATGATCTGCTGAATATTTCTTTGGTAAAAGTAGGAAAAATAAGAAAAATAAACAATGATCTCAGGAACACAGGAAACTATGGTATAAGATTAACTACCACCTTAAAAATCATCTTAGAAAGTAATATACACATAGCATTATCTATATACATCCATTCTTGAGGCATCCAGTAATCTAATAATGAACCATTAAAAAATACTGAGCACCTACTATATGGCAGCACTATGCTATACAAGGATAAATCAGGCAAATTTACACTGCATGGAGTCTACAAGAAACAATCACACCACCACCCTCTAGTTAGTACACTTTAATCCTAAACAGGATAATTCTTTTAGGGCAAAAAGGCAACTCAAAACTTTTGCTGCGAAGAGGTCCTAAGAAAACATAATGACCAATACAATGTAATGCCCTGGATAAGATCTTGGAACATAAAAAGGATACTGGCTAAAAACTAAGGAAATCTGAATGAAGTAAAGATGTCACCATTATACTCATGTATTACTAGTTATTAACTGAGACAAAGAAACCATATTAATATAACATGCTAATAATAAGGGGAACTGGGGAATCTCACTGTACTATCTTCTCAACTTTTCTGTAAATCTAAAACTATCCTAAAATAAAAAGTTAATTTAAAAAAAGGCAACTCAAATAGTATAGCCAGTTTGGTTTTGGAATGCTCAGCTTGCAACATGGCTTAGTGCCAATTTCACTAGTTAATCTGATGGAATGATGTGCTCAAAACACATGAATTAACTCTGCCTTATATTATGACCAAGGCAGACTTTAAAATGGATATAACTTTCAGCCCTTATTTCCCAGAACTGCCTGTTTTTAGCACCTAAGAATTACAAATATCTTTTTCACTAAAAAAAAGAAAGAAAAGAAAAATAAAAGCAAAGCAATAACACTCTCTATAAAATCTTTCTGCATTTCATGAAAATGACACGGCTGCAGACATGATTAAGATTTTCACTTAGTATCCTATGCAAATGAGTCTGAAGGCTATTTTGCCTATGTGTCTCTGCAGTGGCCTGACACTCTTGTTTTGTTATTCCTCTGCTCTCATTTCTTACTTTTTAAAATCAACCTCAATTCTGGTCAGAAAATCCATTTTTGTCTTTTATCTCCACTAGTGTCCTGATATATTCTAGCTAGAAGAATAGAGGTACAAGTCTGGACAGGTCTTTGGCCGTAAGTGAGCTTTAACTTCGGGTGTAAGGAATACTTTTATGAAAAGACTTTGATGGAGTGGCCTTTTAGTTGGAACTTCTCTGTTTTTTATTTTTTCTCCTTTTACTGAAGAGCAAATAAGGAGAGTTCCTATTTAATTTCTCAAAACTAAAAGTGTAAAGAACTTTAAGATTTTCTCTATGATTTTAAGCTTTAGTCCTTCAGAAAATCAACTAGTCAGGGCTGCTGTTCTAGCTCTAGATAGCCTCTGTTATAATGAAATAATTATCCTTTTGGGCTTTCAACCCTATCTAAACTATCTATGTACTACTCTTTAAATTCTCTTTCACATTTCTCTGATTACTCATTTAGAGTTTTTGGCAATTTTCACTCCTCATTTTTCTTAGTAAATAAGGCTAACTTTGAGGGCCTTGAGAACAACAGTATCTAAATAAAAGTATTATCATCAAAAACTATAGCTAACATTTCGTGTGTGAATGCATTTAACTACTCAGAACAGGCAGGCACTGTTGTAATCATTTTACAGGCATTAATCACTTAATTCTTACAACCGCCTTATGAAGTAGGCATTATTATCATTATTGGAGGCAGGATTCAAACCCAGGCTATTCAAACCAAAGAAAATCACATGGCTATTTCCTTAATACAAATATCTAGTTTTCCACTGAATTTGTATTGCTGAAAGTAAGATTTATATCATGAATATTTTTTAAGCAATACCTGTCATTATTTGGAGCAGTTAATATATCTGTTAATAAGTTGGGCCAACTGAAACTATGGAGCTTTTAGAAGGTAACTGGTTAGTAGGCAATGATAATGGTATATATTAATATTTTATTCAGTTCACTCTTAGAATCAATCCTTATACTTGGTGGCAAACGTCTAATTCAAACAAGAGACACTGTGCTGCTGATGACAAAGAAGGTATTTTCTGACACAGAGGACAGGAAAGAAGAAATTGTAGCTTAAGAAAACAAGAAACTTTATCAACTGTAGGAAATTCTTTCCCACCTCTCTCCCGCCCAGATGTTATACAGCAGGCAAAGGTATCCAGATATTGAAGGTTCCTTTGTGAATTGATGAAAGAGAATACTAGAAATATATGGAGCTGCTTTTACTCCAGACAGATATTATGTAGAAAATAAATGCTCAACAAGTTCTAAACAATAATGGAAATAAAGATAAGTGAGAATTGCTTTTGAAAGCAGCAAAAAAAATCTAAAACCTACTTTGGGAAAGCACTGATGACTTCTGATGCAATAATATAACCTGAGAGCACATGAAGAAGACAGTTTCTCCTGATAAATTATTCATTCCTCTTAGGATACCTGCTGAAGATTGTGTTAGAAGGAAATAAATAAAATGGATCCTCCCATAAATGGATGATCTGGTACTTAAAGGTTGACCAAGAAGAAATCTATCTATGTGGACCCAAGAAGAATACAAATGGAAAACAAAGAATTAAGAAAATCTGAATACCTTATTGTCCCAGTTATAATGGTAGCCTAGGGTCACCCAACGCAGTTTCTCTAGTAAACTTCGAGGCTGCCGTTTATTCACTTCTTTATACCTGCAAAGATTGGTGACAAAATAGGATTTATTCATCTCAAATGGTAGCAATAGCCCTTTGTATAGACCCTGAAGTCTAATTTCAATATTCCATAGTATAGGCTGTTAGCCAAGATTACGTAGGGGAAATTAGAACAGATAAATGAGTTGACCAAGAATACAATGACAGTAAAAAACACATTAGCACTTCTAATTTCTAGTCCTTGGCTATAAATCCTCTGCTGAATGGGATGAAGTTTAAATGATGAGTCTCTAGTATCTCAATAATGAGAAAACAAGAATGACAATAGGGCTGGGCGTAGTGGCTCACACCTGTAATCCTAGCACTCTGGGAGGCTGAGGCGGGTGGATTGCTCGAGGTCAGGAGTTCGAAACCAGCCTGAGCAAGACCCCATCTCTACTAAAAATAGAAAGAAATTAATCGACCAACTAAAAATATATATACAAAAAAAAATTAGCCAGCATGGTGGCGCACGCTTGTAGTCCTAGCTACTTGGGAGGCTGAGGCAGTAGGATCACTTGAGCCCTGGAGACTGAGGTTGCTGTGAGCTAGGCTGCTGCCACGGCACTCACTCTAGCCTGGGCAACAAAGTATAACTCTGTCTCAAAAAAAAAAAAATGAATGACAATAGAAATGTCTTTATTTGTCCATGGGACCAAGATCACTATGGGCAATCAAAAATATATATAACAGAACATTTTCAGTTTGGTTTGCTAAAAGCAGGGTATGATTACTCAGTTATTACTATGTCTATAATGACGGTGGCTTCCCAGAATTGCAGGTTGAGGAAAAAAATTTAGCAAAATATAGTATACAGTACAATAAAAAATAACTGGTTTAACACAACTTCTTTAACCCTGTATAACGTAGCTTAGATAATTGAGGCTTGGATAACAATTAAGGCACAACTGTAATTGATTTGGTTTCTGACATACCCTTGTTCAAATCACGGGAGGTTTCCGTAAAAACAGAGAGGTGCCCTTTCTGCAATTACATATTGTCTAATAAAATCTATGTGATTAACTACTCTTTTTCTAAAAAGGAAGCTTGTTTGTTTGGTTCACCTCTAAATATCTAAAAGTATGAAAATGTTAGGTCTAATCATTTTAGTTAATTTCTCTCTATGTAATTTACATCATTAATCCATCAAACTTTTTTCTGTCGAAAACCCATGGCTGTTTAAAAAATAAAAACTTAGATTCATTTAAGGAGTTTATATTCTGAAAAGAGATGATACATATAAGAATGAAAAGTTGAAGGAGAAATGAGGGGGAAATTCAAGGCAGTATAAAGTCTAGTACTGAACTGAATAGCACAGACTTTGAGGGGTACTAGAATTAAGAAAAAGGAGACTTCAAAGTCAGCTGTCTAATCAGTGAAGGTTTCATGGCAGAGTTGGAGTTGAGGACGGCACTGAAGAATGGCCAGCATTGAAACAGGAGTGACACAATAGGCAATAAGGACACAAGCCTGAGCAAAATGAAAGGATTTATTAGAGGCCCGCACTGTAAGTGGCACACTCATTTTGATGCTTGACAAAGAGTTTACAGAACAGATGCTATCTGTCACAGAGTTTACATTCTAAGAAGGATATCGTGACATATACATCAAGACCAGCAGATAAAAGGAATGGACAGAAACTGATTTATTTAGGACAGGTGTGCAGAAAAGAGACACAGCAGACTTGACTGAAGGACTTTCAAAGGTGGCCCCTCTCAGGCATGTGGAACTTGGATGTGGAGAGGGTTCACACCATGCCCTGGAACTGGTGAAAATAGTTCACATTACCTTGACTGTTCGCACAAACATAAGATGGTTTATGTTGAACACCTGCTTTCTTTCTGGGAGTTTGGAATTTTGGTATGTGTCAGTCAGAGACTGCCTACGTGACAAGCTTCTAGTAAAAACCTGGGCACTGAGCTTCTTTGGTACATTTCAGATTTGTTATATATATTTGGTTGTCACTTCCTGTAAGATGGAAGCTCGCACCTGGTTTTTCCTGGACTTTGCTCCATGTACCCTTTCCATTTGCCGATTTTGCTTTGTATGCTTTCACTACAACAATCATCTTATCTGTGGCCACAACTATATGCTGAGTCCTGTGAGTCCTGGCAAATCATCAAACTTGAGTGTGTGGTCTTTTGGTCCACTCCATGACACAACAGGAAACAGACAACTAGCAATCTAGGGAAAAAGATATGTTAAGATTTGGCCAGTGACTGCAACTAGCTATCCAAACAATTACAATATGGATAACAACCATGCAATATTTATAATCTGTGCATAAAAACTAATAAAACAAAAAATACAATGTAGTTATAATACAACCTGAGTCTATCAATGTTTATTCTGCTAAAAGTACAAATAAAAGAACTCCCTGATATATTTGTTCTGTTTACTAGCCTGTGATAGAAAAATAAGTATGACCTCTTATTTCTGGACTTGTGTGGTTTTAATAGAAATATAAATAGTTTCAGAGTTATATAAGCACTCTACAGATAACCTATTCTATTCTCTTCCAAGATATTATTTTGTGGCTAATTCCCTATTTAAAGTAATCTCTAGTTCCCCCTCGTGTCCCCACTCTGTCTACCTCTCCTAATATAAATGAACAAACAAACAAACAAATAATAAGACTCCAATCCAGAGCTCCAAATAGATGGTGCCCTGAGTATCTAAATGGCAGAGAAGAGCTATACAGAAAGCTTTTACAGAACCTGTCTACACCTCATTAGTTTTGCCCAGTGGTTCTCAAACTTTAATGTGCATCGAATCATCCACAGGGCTTGTTAAAACTCACATGACTAGGTCCAGGCCTACAAATTCTGACTGAGTAGGTCTGATGAGCGGGCCTAAGACCTGCATTTCTAACAAGTTCGCAAATGATGCTGATACCACTGTTATGGAGATCACACTTGGAGACACTTTTCTAGTCAAAACTAAAACAAATACCTTCTATCTCTTTTTTAGCTAAACAAACAGATCATTTTATCTAATGAAGAGCATTTATATATTTTACTCTTAATGAAGAATGTTATATCAAAACAAGACTGATCTGAAACAGTGAAGATAACAATAATGCAGCTTTGGAAATAATCCAGAAGGTGATGGTATTTAGACAATTAATATGGCCTCAACAATGCTTTCCATCAAACAATTTAGTCTGTTCTTCAAACACAGGGCATATGTTAAGCAATTCTTAAGCAAAAAAGAAAAAATAAAAGAATAGGGTATACATTATTATAATTAACACAGGTTTACAGTAATAAACATTATCATAATATAGTGATAAGCATGAACAGAACCATCCGTATTGTACCTTTTCTAATTTAATTCCTTTTTTTAAGAAACCAAAAGACCATCTCTTTCCTACACTAAAAGAAAGGCTTTGAGCTTATAGAGGAGGACTGGCCCAAGGCTGTATTAAATAAAAGAAGCCAGAGAATAGTCTTACTTTCAAAACCTTAAGCCCAGTCCTCATCACAAAAGAAAAAATAGCAAGAATAGCTGAAACTTGCTTAGGGCTGGGCATGGTGGCTCATGCCTGTAATTCTAACACTTTGGGAGGCCATGGCAGGAGGATTGTTTGAGGTCAGGAGTTCAGGACCAGTCTGAGTATGAGTGAGACCCCATCTCTACTGAAAGTAGAAAAAGATCAGCCAAGTGTGGGTGGCATATGTCAGTAGTCCCAGCTACTTGGAGGCTGAGGCAGGAGATCACCTGAGCCAGGAGTTTGAGGTTGCAGTGAGCTAGGCTGATGCTACTACATTCTAACCAGGAAGAGAGTGAGACTATCTCAAAACAAAAAACATACATATTTTGTGTGATTTAGGAGACCCACGTAGGCATATTAGATCCTTTTTCATATCCTCTTTAAGAACTTGATTTTTAATTCTTGCCTTTGTATTTTCTGGAAGGAAAATAGCAACAATTGTTAACATTTACCTTTAAGATGTGAGAGTAAGACTGGCCAACACTATATATTCTTGCCTTAGTACTAGTTAGGACCTTCTCTGATTCTCATGGGCCTCTTAGGTAATAAAGATTTTAAAAATTTGCTCTTGAACATTATCAATAGTATGAAGATAAACCATTTAACATGCTCCCAGATCATTTTCCACCATAAAATATTGAGGATCACTCAAGGGGGTGGGCTGTTCTCTTTTAAAACTGACTTGTCCAAAAGGAGGCCAAGGAAGATTAGGGCCAATGAAGCTCCATATCCACCTTGAAGAACGCAGGAAATAAAAACACTGCACCTGATAAATCTTTATCCAGTTATCCAAAAGAATGTTTTCAAGCAAGCATGACCCGAATTATCAGGTCTCACTGCAAAAAAGAAACAAGCCATGCTACCTGCCCTGCTACCTCCTCCAGGCACTAGCACGGAAGATGATAGGTGGGTGGGCTGGCCCTTTTCCCCTCAAGAACATGCTCACAAGGTGGCTTGCTCAGTTCTGTCATGGGCAAGTGCTTTATGTAAGTGCTGGCATTTCTCTCAGCAATCATGTTCTGTAGCACAGCTTTAGCTGAACCCTAACTGGTGAAAATGAACTCCTGTCCTGCTTGTCTGCTCTCTGTAAAGTGGGTAGTCTGGTGTCCATAACTAACCACTGGTATTTTCTTTTTCTTCTTGCCTGTAAGAGAACATTAGTGAATCACTGTGAAAGCAATGACAGAATAGTCTAAAGGTTATAAATAAAACTTCAGAATCCTACTGCAGATATTTGTTTTCAATTATTTTAAAATTGGGAATTGTGTCTTTCATAACTCTGAAAATTCCTTCACGACACAAAGTTTCTCTCTTCCTTTCCTATTCTCTCACTTCCACTGAACTTCAATCTCCAGTCCCTAGCACCCCAATCTTTCAGTGTTTGTTTGTTTGTTTTTTTGAGACAGAGTCTCACTGTTGCCCAGGCTTGAGTGCCATGGAGTCGGCCTAGCTCACAGCAACCTCAAACTCCTGGGGTTCCCATAATATGCTGAAATAAAAAAAAAAAAAACAACTCCTGGGCTCAAACGATCCTACTACCTCAGCCTCATGAGTAGCTGGGACTACAGGCATGGGCACCGATGCCCGCTAATTTTTCTACATGTATTTTTTTTTTTTTTTTTTGAGACAGAGTCGCGCTTTCTTGCCCAGGCTAGAGTGAGTGCCGTGCGCGTCAGCCTCGCTCACAGCAACCTCAGACTCCTGGGCTCAAGCAATCCTGCCTCAGGCCTCCCGGAGTAGCTGGGATACAGGCACGAGCCACCATGCCCGGCTGATTATATTATATATTAGTGGCCATTAATTTCTTCTATTTTTATGGTAGAGACGGGGTCTCGCTCAGGCTGGTTTTGAACTCCTGACCTTGAGCAATCCGGCCCGCCTCGGCCTCCCAGAGTGCTAGGATTCAGGCGTGAGCCACCACGCCCGGCCTCTATATGTATTTTTAATGCGCAATTAATTTCTTTCTATTTTATAGGAGACGGGTCTGGCTCTTGCTCAGGCTGGTTTTGAACTCCTGACCTTGAGTGATCCTCCTGCCTCAGTCTCCCAGAGTACTAGGATTACAAGCACGAGCCACCTCACTCAGCCCAGGGGAACCTTTTATAACAGACCCTCTTCCTTTCTGACAGACTCTGGGAAGTGGGGAGAGATGCCATATACTGTCCACATAATTATGAATGACCATGCTTCAACCACCCTGAATGGCTTATCCAGTCTAATGCCGTCATTTCCCACATGAGGAAACTGAAAAATGTATCACATAGTGACAACACCAGAACTAGGGCCCTAATTGATTTTCAATGCCGCCAACACAATGTCTGAGCATATCAATTCCTCCCAACCCTTGACAACATAAGGTATGACTACCACATTTTTTATTTTTGTTAATTTACCAGACCAAAAAAAAAATGTATCTCAACATTGTTTACATGATGATTTATTATAGGGATTCATCTGAGCTATCTTAAAAGATAGCGGGGATTTCTCCTGTCATATATTAGAAGGAAAAAAATCAATAACTTGAAAACACAAGCTGGTTTAGTAACAAGTTCTCTTTGACTAATTTCACTCAACCATGATCTTCCTTTATTTTGCTTTCAGTTCTAAAGATGACATTACTAAAAGCTTAACATTGCTCCTGCCTATAATATAACTTATAGACTAAGGTTTTAAATGAAAACCATTGAATTTTAGTTCTTCTTTCCCCTTTCAACTTAAGAAAATCTATTTCCCCTGTTAGAATCAGCATGATAGTCTAAAAACTAGACCATCAGGGCCACTTAAGACCAAACAAGACACAAAATTGGTACAATGGTTTTAACTGGCACTGTTCTAAGGACTTCTCACATATTATCTGTTTAATCTTCACACTATTAAATAAGGAAAGGACTGTTATGAGGCACAGAAAGGTTAAGAAATTTGCTCAAGGTTAAATAGGCACTAAGTGGTAGAGCCAGGACTTGAACACAGGCAGTCTGACTCAAGAACTGATTCTCTACATCACTAAACTTTTTTCTTTTTTGAGACAGAGTCTTGCTTTGTTGCCCAGGCTAGAGTGAGTGCCATGGCGTTAGCCTAGCTCACAGCAACCTCAAACTCCTGGGCTCAAGCAATCCTCCTGCCTCAGCCTCCCAAGTAGCTGGGACTACAGGCATGTGCCACCATGCCCAGCTAATTTTTTCTATATGTATTAGTTGGCCAATTAATTTCTTTCTATTTACAGTAAAGATGGGGTCTTGCTCTTGCTCAGGCTGGTTTCGAACTCCTAACCTTGAGCAATCCGCCCGCCTCAGCCTCCCAGAGTGCTAGGATTACAGGCGTGAGCCACCGTGCCCGGCCTCACTAAACTCTTTATAGTCTGGCCTTAACCCACCCTTCCCACTTCATGTTTTCCCAATCCTATCCACTACTTTCAGGATGCATTTTCCACAATCTACCCCAACCTAGCCACTTAAGTGACCATCCCCACTATATCGTATAAACTCTATTCCTGTACTTACAAAATTGTATTTAATTATCTGTTTACATGTCTGTCTTCAACTCAACTACAAATCCCTTGAAAATTGAAACTGTTTTTAAATCTCTAATACTCAAACACAGTGTCTGACACATAGCAGAAACTCAGCAGGTATCTATTGGATAAACATAAATGCACACATCCTGTGTTCCTGTCTCACAGAACAACTTACTCTGTCTAAAATATTACATCTTTGCTCAGGCTGCTTTCTCCACTCAGAATAACCTTCTTACTTTTCTGACTGGCAAGCCCCTCATCTTCTCCCCACCCTCAATCATTTTTGAAGACCATTTCAAATGGACAGAGAAAAAAAGAGGAAAATAAACCCAATTTTAAAAATCATTTTTTCTTCTTTGATCCTGTACTCTGCCTAGAAGAATTAATTATTTCTCTGTGTTCCCACAATGTTTTTCTTTTCTTTCTTTTTTTCTTTTGGAGACGGAATCTCACTCTGTTGCCTAGGCTAGAGTGCCATGGCGTCAGCCACGCTTACAGCAACCTCCAACTCCTGGGCTCAAGTGATCTTCCTGCCTCAGCCTCCCGAGTCGATGGGACTATAGGCATGTGCCACCATGCCCCACTAATTTTTTCTATATATATTTTTAGTTGTCCAGCTAATTTCTTTTTATATTTTTCTAGTAAAGACGGGGATCTCGCTCTTGCTCAGGCTGGTCTCGAACTTCTGAACTCCTAAGGTCAAGTGATCCTCCTGTTTCGGCCTCCCAGAGTCCTAGGATTACAGGCATGAGCCACCAAGCCCGGCCCCCACAGTGTTTTTCTAAACCACATCATAAAATTTTTTGGGCTAGAATCCAGTGGCATCATCATAGCTAACTGCAACCTCAAACTCCTGGGCTCAAGTGATTCTCCTGTTTCAGGCTTCCGAGTAGATGGGACCACAGGCACACATTAGAGATGGGGTCTCGCTATGTTGCCCAGGCTGGTCTTGAATTCCTGGCCTCCCAAAGTGCTAGGATATCAGGCATGAGCTGCTGTGCCCCACCCACTTTCTAAACTCTACTATAATTATTCCTGTAGATACTGAGTTCCACTCTTGAATCCAGTGCGGGTATCTTTATCTTTCTATCTCCAATACCTAGCATCATGCCTGGCACAATACTGACCCTCAGTAGATATCTGTGGAATGAATGAATGAATGCAGTAACAACATGAAGGTAAAATAGTAGTTCTTCTCATGAGGAACAACTGGTACATCATAAAATAAAAATAGCTAGTAGCACTGACTACATCTTGAAGAGAAGAGCTTTCATTGTTATTTTGTCCTAGGATACCACAATTCTTTAAAGAAACTCACTTTAAGTAGAAAAAAATGGCAGAAGCTGAATGAAAATGGATTATCCAATGATTAATGAGGATAAATTCAATATCTAAGCTGTGATAATCAAATCTTTAAAAAGGGATCTCAATTTAATATAACTGTCAAAGCATCTCCAAATGTTCCCTGGGAAAGAATACAACTGCTTTATATTTGCTTGGAAACAATGAGGGGAAAAATTGGCCAGTCACTTTCGCTGTATTCTTACAGAACAGGTCCTTCAAAATCTGTGATGAACTGAGCTGAATATTAACACTTGATTCTGACTGATAAGACTTACCTCAGGAACTCTTTGCTCTGTTCCCACAGATCTTGGGTCTCTTCTCTAGTCATGTGTTTGTCCAGGTTACATACATTAGGTTTCTGGGAATATAACTTAAGGCACTGCTTCACCCAGTGCCACTGGTAACCTGGGAGGAAGGGGTTTGGGATAAAAATAAATCCTATAAAAAGATGGGTGGAAAAAAAGGAGAGGAAGAATTCTCCATCAGTTATTCAGATCATTTCTTTTTCTTGACAACCTTACCCCCACTACTCTGTTTACTCCCTATATTCTTTTTTTTTTGAGACAGAGTCTTGCTTTGTTGCCCAGGCTAGGGTGAGTGCCGTGGCGTGAGCCTAGCTCACAGCAACCTCAAACTCCTGGGCTCAAGCAATCCTGCTGCCTCAGCCTCCCAAGTAGCTGGGACTACAGGCATGCACCACCATGCCCAGCTAATTTTTTCCATATATATTAGTTGGCCAATTAATTTCTTTCTATTTATAGTAGAGACGGGGTCTCGCTCTTGCTCAGGCTGGTTTTGAACTCCTGACCTTGAGCAATCCACCTGCCTCGGCCTCCCAGAGTGCTAGGATTACAGGCGTGAGCCACCACACCCAGCCTACTCCCTATATTCTTTTTGGTCATGCTTCAAGTTCATAAAGAGCTAAATTTTGATGAATATTAGACAGCTACCATTACACAAATGTCTTTGGCTTTCTGGGTTATTCTTAAGAGAAATAGATATTCCACAAGGTTAACTGTCAGTTGTGTTACCCCAAAACAAACTTTACAACTGAAAGTACCAAAAGTCCACTCTCTATTCAGTAGGTCTCATCATTTAGAGTCATCCAAGACCTTTTTGCCTCCCTGTTTCATTAATTGGAGGCACAGAGGCTGAAATCTTATACTGAATTTAACTAAAATATAGATTTGAAAGACATCATCTAATGAATGGCATGCTCGTTATTAATCTATTTTCTCTCAGTTTCAAATCCACCTGTATATATTTGGCTTCACAGTATAGGGCTGAGAGCCCGCCAACTACATTTATTCTTTGCCAGCTGGCTCCCTGCTAACCTGTGCCTGTAGGGGGCAGTAATCATAGACTGGAGGGCAGAAGTTGGTTCTAATATAATTTCTCCACATCACTAAAAACAGCCTCATTATTATGTCTTTTCTTCAGAAGTCTAAGCCCCATGAATCCCACTTCCAAGCTTCTAAATTTAATAGTCCCAAGCTCTTCTGTTTTTCTCCCCATTCACAGGGGTAGCAGCTGTTTCTTACAGTTGCTACTTCTGAAATATTATCTCAGTGTTCCTTTTTAGTCTTTTCAGTTTTCTTATACCTAATAATTCTTTATATTATTTCAGTTAAAATAATTGGTGATTTCTGACTTCTGACTTGATATAACAAGAAAGAAAGATGGTATTCAAATCTTCTCAGCAACTCACTATGGCTTATGTGTTGGAAAAATCTTTGTGACCTTCACAGCAACCTAATCTCATTTTTTTCCCTCTGAAAAGAGGAATAATAATATTTAATGGGAATCCTGTGCATGGTAAAGAGTCATTCATTCACCAAACACACATTATGTACCAGGCACTTCCTCAAGAATTAGAGATAAAGAGATGAAAAACTGCCTGGAGAAAGGACAGTAAAGACAGTTATACCGTAACTTGTTTTTTGAAGCCTGGTTATAAAAGGAAACAAATGCTGAGGAGCAGTCAAAATGAATAAAGAATTAAAGAGGAGAGTTTATGGTTTTTAAGGACGCTTATAGTTTGTGAAGAAAGAACCAGCAGAGAAAGTGGTTGAAAATACAAAAGAGGAAAGGTACAGAGCAAGGTAAAGAAGGTGAGATAGAGAGGGTGAAGGACTGGCTTTAAAGTGAAAGAACTCCTCTTCCTCTGAGGTTGGAGAATAGGAATGAGAATATTTGCTTATAGGTATGGGGACCACTAGAAGCTAAAGGGGTTTGTGCCTGATAGACTCAGTTTTCCCAACCAGATAAACAGCAAGGCCATCTCAGCAAGACAGAGCATGGCTGGGCAGGGCCCTGAGAAACAAGAAGGAATCAATGAAATTATACAAAAGGCAATTATTCTATATTAGTATAATGTTCTCCTTGCAAAAGGAATACTACAAACAGACATACAGGCTAAAGCTTAAGGATTTCTGAGTTAAATGCTGGCAATAATCTGAAGGTCTTCAATTCCTGGTTGTATTCCAGATCTAGTCTAGACCAGAAGTCAACAAACTTTTTCTGTCAAGGATAAAGATAGTAAATACTTTAAACTCTGAGAGTTATTTGATCTCTTTAGTATACAACTCTGTCACTGTAGCAGGAAAGTAGCTATAGGGTAGTAAGTAAATAAATAGGCATAGCAGTATTCTAGTAAAACTGATTACAAAGAACAGGTAGGGGACTTGGCCCTTGGCCAAGTTAACCAAAACCTAGTCTAGACTATTAATCATGACAGCATGTTTTATGGAAATGTCCTTAGGAGAATTACTTTGGACAACAGACAGTAAAGATACTGAGCTGAAGCTAAAACAAAACAACTTTGGTATTACCAAACTACTCTTCCTCTCTTCTCTTTGGCATATAATTTAGACACAGAATAATGATAAACTTTAATAACAGTGATTAATGATAAGTAAGTTTATTCCTAAGTCACTAATTATAGTAGCTGCTAAAAATAACTGGATGTGTACAAAGTGTCAGCTATTGTGCAAGCAACCTTATGCTATCTCATTAATCTTCATTCAGTAACTCCATGAGAAAGTTATTAATCCAATTTTGCAGATAAGAAAACAGAAGTTCAGAGGGGTAACATGACTTCACTGACTCATCCCTCTCTCCTGGCCCATCTGTGGCCAACAGCACACATTTGGGATATAACAACAAAGCTGAATTTGTGGTCATGGAACAAGCAAAGCTAGTTAAGTCCACAGAGGCAACAAACCTATGTTCTTTGCATTATAAATACTAGGCTCTACTAATCCAAGATCACAAAGATTTATGCCTATGTTCTCTTCTAAGAGTATTATAGTTTTTTGCTCTACTTTAAATGTTTGATCTTGAGTTTATTTTGTATATAAGTTAAGAGTCTAAATTAATTCTCTTGCATCTCAATATTCAGTTGTCCTAGCACCTTGTTAAAAAGACCATATTCTCCACTACTGAATTATTAAAAATCAAAGTCAACTGATTACCAGAGGCTGGAAAGAGTAGGGGGATGGTTAATGGGCACAAAGAATATTAGTTAAATAGAATGAACAATATTTGTAACACCACAAAGTGACTATAATCAACAGTAAGTTACGGGTATACTTCCACTAAAAGAGTGGAAATTTAGCTGGAACGTTCCTAACACACAAAAAATGATAAATGCTTGAGGAATGTACAACCCAACTACCCTGATTTGATTAATTTACATAGAATGCTGGTATAAAAATTCGTTTACCCTAAAAATATACACTATAAGTACCCATATAATAATAAGAAAATCAAGGTCAATTACATTGACATTGCTATGGTTTGGATATGGTTTCCTTACCTCACAAATTCATGTTGCCATTGATCCCATGTGGTGGTTTGGGTAAGTAGGGCCTAGCAGGAAGGTGTTTGGGTCATGGGACAGATCCTACATGAATGGCCATAGCTCATCTCTAGAGGTAGGCTGAGTGATCTTGCTCTGATGAGACTAGATTAACTCATAAGAGTGGGTTGTTTGTTATAAAGCCAGGAAGAGCCTGGGGGTTTTACCACTTCCTCTTTGATCTTCTTGTCATATTATGCCACAACATGAAAGCCTTGGTTAGAAGCCAGCTATGCCCACGAATTCCCCTGCCTGGAGAACTATAAGCTAAATAAAAGTCTTTTCTTTATAAATTAAAAATAAATAAGTAAATACTAGGCTCTAACCAAGTAAATCTATAGGCGTGTGCTACATGATGGCTAGGTAATTTTCCTATTCTTAGTGGAGATGGAATCTCGTTCCTGCTTAGGCTGGTCTCAAACTCCTGAACTCAAGCAATCCTCCCACCATGGCCTCACAGAGTGCTAGGATTACAGGCAAGAGCCACCAGGAATGGCCAAAAAACTAGTATTTCTTTTTAAAGATTTATCTCACTTTTAACTTATACTGGAAATCACAACTGCAATGTTAATTTTATGCCTTTAGGAAGAATCAGGATGGCAGATAACAATTTGGACCAATAAGGCATTTTCATATCTTCTAAATAGTTTATAATAATTAATCTACAATGGCCCCATGAGCGTAGAAAAAAGGTGAACAATACCAACACTTTGTTATTGTCTTAATTTCCCTATTTCTAAAAATTCTAAGCTATTCAGTCTCTTAGGACTTTTGATCTCATTCAGTGTAAATCTTTTTTTAAATGTTCAGTCTTGGCAGGGCATGATGGTACACACCTGTAGTCCCAGCTACTAGGGAGGCTGAGGCAGGAAGATCGCTTTAGCCTAGGAGTTTGAGTTGCAGTGAGCTATGATGATGCCACTGCACTCTAGCTTGGGTGACAGAGTGAGACACTGTCTTAAACAAAACAAAACAAACAAATAAATGTTTAGCCTTGATAACAAGATTTAAGTTGCTATGTCATTTGAGAATATGACTAGAGTGACAACTACAATTTATTCATAACCCTTATATGACAATTATTATATAATTATAATTTATCATTTAAAGCACTTCTGCCAAGTAGGTGTTCAGAGTTATGGCAGAGAAAACAGAGTCAATGTCCTTATTTTTTTATTTGCCATGCCACTTCTGCCATATTAGGAAGGCACTGCTGACTCCTATTCTATACTTTGGGAATGGACACCTCATGCAAGGCACAATTTAGCATGATTTGGAAGTGAAATATTTATGTGTTTAGTTTTGTCCTTTGTCTATTTACTTGATCACAGCTCCTCCTCTGAAATTAGATACATGATTGAGTGATTTTTGCCTTCTCTGAGGTCAGCTGCACTCACCAGGATAGCCTTCGAGGCCATAGGCTTGCCACTTGCTGACAGGCTGAAGTCCTGCTCTATGTGCATCGTGTTCACTGACTGAAGACACACTTAGCTGAGATCTGACCACCTGGCAGGAAGGAAACAGAAGTCAGAGGACTAAAACTATTTTGCAGGTCAACCCTGGGAATCTTAAACCTCCAAAGACATTTCTGGTATGAGGCAAAGCTTAAGTCTGGGATATTAATCTTACCTCCATCACTAAAATTTGATCTAGAAATTTTATGAGCCACTTAACTTCTCAGAGCCTCAGTTTCTCATCTATGTGCTAACAAACACTAGAGTTACACAAAATTAAGATAAGTGGTAATAAGAAAATTTAAGCAGGTTGATTTTGGCCTTCAACACCACCTTTTTTTTTTTTTTGAGACAGAGCTTGCTGTTGCCCTAGGCTAGTGATTCACTAATATATTGGAACATTATCCGGCATGTGCATCTGTAGTCCAGCACTGGGACCGAGGCAGCAATTTGCTTAGTGCCAGAGCGATTCTTGAGCTAGGCTGATGCAAGCAATCACCCTAGCCCTGGCAAGCAATTGGGATACTCTGTCCTCAAAAAATACAATACATAAAAAACTAAAATTACAATATGTCCTCCTTTTATGACCTCGAAAAATGTCTGGAAGCTAATTTATTTAATTGATTTACATTCCCTGTTTTTTTTGAGACCTGATCTCGCTTGTTCCAGCTAATGATGCCCTGGCTCAGCCTACCAATCAACCCAAACTCCGCTCAAACGATCATTCGCCCACCTCCCGAGTAGCGGACTACAGGCATCGCGCACCATTGCCGGCCTAATTTTTTATAACCATATCAGTTGGCCAATTAATTCTTTCTATTTATATAGAGACGGCGTCTGCTCTTGCTATCAGGCTGGTTTAACTCCTGACCTTACAATCGCCGCCTCGCTCCAGAGAGCTAGGATTACAGGCGTGAGCCACCATGCCCGGCCTGATTTACATTTCTTTTCAGAAACACACACATACATATGTAAAAATATATATCTATGTTTATGTATATGTGTATAAATATATTTATATATTTATGTGTATAAATATATTTGTATGTGTATATATGTGTATAAATATATGTGTAAAAATATATTTATATATTTATGTGTATAAATATATATTTTCTATATATATTAGTTGGCCAATTAATTTCTGTCTATTCTATTTATAGTAGAGATGGGGGTCTCGCTCTTGTTCAGGCTGGTTTCGAACTCCTGACCTCAAGCAATCTGCCCGCCTCAGCCTCCCAGAGTGCTAGGATTATAGGCATGAGCCACCGCGCCTGGCCAACACTACCTTTTCTTGTGACTTCTTTTTTTTTTTTTCCAATGTTGTGCTATAAAGGAATCTTGTGACTTCTTATAGAACTCTGAATCATGAAAGGTATTTGGTGTACTAAAATATCTTGAGTCACAAAGTTATTTACTTCAGTTGGGGGAAACAATGTCTTTAAGACAGTGGCATAAAAATAAAACACTGGGAACTCTGCTAAAAGTACAGTATTGGTTCTCTTTTAGATGAAACGAAATGTCAATGCTAGAACTTTTGCTTTTGTTAATTACTTTGATATGAATTTAGTATTTAAGAGGCTGTTGAGGTTTTCTTTTCGCATGAAAGTATCTTATGGATGGCTCATTACATTGGTTAAGAAACCTAATATACAGTCATTAAAATAAGGACACTAAGGGAAAAAAAAAACCCTATTCTTCCATGGATAATAAACTTAAGGCCTGGTTTGCCTTAGAATATGTCAAATGTTCTTTCAAAGACAAATGATCTTTTATCCTAACAACTTCTCTAAATGTAAAGATTTCCAGACAAAATACCAACAAGTGGCTGGTACATAACCAGTCTCTATAATAAAAAGGCTATCTGGAACCCTCTGAGAGTCCTGATCAGTAAAGCTTTCCAGGTACCCAGGAGCTGATAAAATATTTTAAAACATTTTGTCATGATTTTAAATAGGCCATACTTAATATGCACTATAATTCAGCAATGCCATCAGAGGTGATGTTTGTGGATCTATTTTATCATATGCTAAACTGATGCAAACTACTGAATTAAAAAAAAAAATGCTTTTTCCTTCCTCCCTAGCCAGACTGTTAGCCATCACTTTCCTCACTCCTCCTATCAGCTGTTTTGTAATAGCAACTTCTTCTATTTGCTACTTCTAATCTGCTGCAGGCTGGGAAACTAAACACCCAAGCTTTCATTTACTCAACCCATGCTGTATTTACTGAGTGCTGACTGTTTAAAACACTATTTTAAACTGTTTTTAAACACTGAGAATGTCCCATTCTCAGGTGGCTTACGTTCTAAAAGCATGTATACATTACGGTAAAATACAGGCAAAAGGAGCCAAATGAAGATCTGAAGGGTTCTCCTGAGACAAGTATATTATTCTTGCACTGCAGACTTTCTGTATGTTAGTTTGAGAACTTTAACATCATTTTTACTAACAAATGAAGTTGCTGAGAAGCTGAGTTCCACACAAGTATGGAGTTACTACAGCATTACAATTTTGTTGAGAATTGAGTTATTACGAAGCTTGGAAAGAATACCTCATCCAGACATCTGTGGACACCAAGAGCAAATTAAGAGATTAGATATCCTCAATATTAAAGCGACTGTAAAGAAAATATACATTGCACTACGGTTGTGGTTTCCCTTATGTCCTTTCCTATTATGTTTCTATCTTAATTTCCACGGGAAAAAGTAGAAAGAATATATTTGGATTCTCTATATATTCGTTTGCCACTTATTTTCAATTTGGAGGGTTTAATCTCACAATCCTACCACGACTATTTTCTAAAAGACTTAACAATGTCAGAACACTTTCAATTTGGGGATTTCTCACTAGTTGGTTTTTTCAAGCTGCAAAGCGCTACCTTAACGCCTACGTAGACGTTCTACGGGGTTTTACACAAACCAAAATAAAAATGTAAGTGGACAGTTAAAGGAAGAAATAAACACTAGTTCCCAAGCTTTTATCCCCGAGGCAGCCGCCGGTATTCGCGTGAAGAAACCGGCAGCACAGCACTTCATGGCTAAAGTGTGACTGTCAGTCGGAGTTCAACTCTGCGCCCAGAGAGGAGGACACGGAAGCCCCTCCAAGAAGGGCGGCGAGGCAAGGAGCGGCGCTGGCCGTTCCTCTCGCTGTACCTTGTGGGCATTAGGACCCGTGCCGCGGGCTGTATGGGCCGCCGAGAAGTCGATGACCCCTCCCAGGTCTGCAGTCCCTGGCTGGCTCTGCCGGTAGAAGCGGAAAAGTTTCCGAAAGGCGTCCTCTCCAGGCTCTGAAGCCAGCGTCGCCACAGAGCCCACGGCCGCCGCCATCTTCCCCATCTCGCTGTCTGGCCTCTCTGATCCGGAAGCAGAGCCCCAAGCTCCGGATCCGGCTGGTTCTTCCGGGGTCGCGACCCCAGGTCGTGGAGAACTTTCAGTCTAAAGATGGCGGCCTTGGCAGCGAGGAGTGTTGTGTCCCTGCGTAGAAGTGTTAATCGGCCCGTTGCCTTTGTTAGAAAGATTCCTTGGACCGCTGCGTCGAGTGAGTGATGGAGATGTCGGAGGGGTGGAATTTTTAGGTTCAAGGGATCCTCGAAACCTCTGTTTTCTTCAGAGTATTTAAGTCAGCGTGGTGGCTGGATTAGGAGGCAAGAGTTTGCTCCTGAGCATCCAGTGAGCAGAAAGAAATTTTCTTTGCAATTAACCGTTTAGGGATGCCCCCTAAACTTCTGGGGCACGAATTCACTGCCTTTCGGAGTGATTTGGTGGAAAGGTTTATTACTTAGTAATTTTACGATTTAGAAGGAATTATTTTGACTGCAATGTGGTGGATCGATTCAAGATGGCAAAATTGTAGGCATGGAGAGGAGCTAAAAGGCAATTTCAGGAATTTGATTCAAAGATGAGGATCTGAACAAGGGCAGTGGTAGGTGTGTGTGTGTGTGTGTGTCAGATCCGCTTATGCAATCAATTTAGTCAGGAGGAGATAGGATTACTGACATATCAAGGGGAGAGAATAACATGCAAAGGTGGGAATCCATGGGACAGACACAGAATTCAGTGTGATGGATTAAGGAGTAATTATAGGACAGCAAGGGGAAATCAGGCAGGCAGGTTTGTAGGGGCAACTCAACAAATTTGACAGCATTAACTATTTAACCTAGCGTAAATTTTAAATTATGAATGATGAGTAAATTGGGATTTTATTTATGTAACCCAGAACAAAAACGTGTGTGGGGACAAATTGGGATTTTATTTGGAAATTCTGATATAGCTGGAAACACACTGGATTGTAATTGTTTATCTTTTTCTTCTGGGGAATCTGCTCACAAAGATTGTATTAATAATCCACACATCCAGCACAGTACCTGGTATGATGAAACAGTCAATATTTGGTAAGAATGGAGACTGCAGCCAACTCAGCAATTTATCTGTCCACGTCCCCACCCCATCACCAAATCTGGTAAATTATGGCTTTATAGGTAGTATCATTGCTGTTTCCTAAATCTTAAGGCTTTTAGGAAATGTAAAGTAGTTCCTGTCCATAAGAAATTTGGGGACTCTAGGACCCCATTTGGTTTCAATCTACAATTTAGGGTAAAGAATACAAAATATATCTTGACTTTTTTTTTTTTTTTTTGAGACAGAGTCTCACTCTGTCACCCAGGCTGGAGTGCAGTGGCATAGTCATAGCTCACTGCAACCTCACACTTCTGGGCTAAGCTATTCTCCCGCCTCAGCATCCCAAGTAGCCGCACCACCATGCCTAGCTAAGTTTCTTTTCTTTTTTCTTTGTAGAGATGGGGTCTTGCTTTATGTTGCCAAGGCTGTTATTGAACTCTGGGGCTCAAGTGATCCTCCTGCCTCAGCCTCCCAAAGTGCTGGGATTATAGGTGTGAGCCACCATACCAGACCGTAACTACTTTTAATGTTTTGTCTCCGTATACAGGTGAGATGAGAGAACACTTTGCACAGTTTGGCCATATACGAAGGTGTTTCCTACCTTTTGTGAGTATCATCTTAAGAAAAAAGTATTAATGTTATCTTTTAATTCTTTTTTTTTTTTTATTTCGGCATATTATGGGGGTACAGATTTTAAGGTTTCAATAAATGCCCATTTCCCCTTATCTTTTAATTCTTGATTTATCAAAGCGTATCAATTTATATTAATATCTAATAGAAAGAAGCTATCTTTAGTGATAAAATTAGAGGTGAGACTGATTAAAAATAAGCTTTATCCTAGGTTAAATTGTCATATAACAAATTAGCACAAAGGAAATGGCTCAAAACAACACACATATATTATCTCACAGCTGGGCATAGCCTAGCTGGGTCCTCTGCTTAGGGTCTCACATAGGGTCTCTATAATACATATGTCAGCTGGGGCTGCAGGGTGTCTCATCAGAGGCTCAACTGGACAGAGACTGCCTTCCAAGTTCCTTCAGGTTGATGGCAGAATTCATTTTCAACCCTAGGACTGAAGTCTCTGTTCTCCTACTAGCTTCTGGCTTTCAGATGGGGACTACTCTCAGCTCCCAGGGATTCCTGCAGTTTCCTTGTTACCTGCCTTTTCTGTAGGCTGTTTTACAACGTGGCAGCTTGCTTCTTTAAAGCCAGCAATGGAGTTTCTCCAGTGGGTTAAGATAGAGTCTCATGTATTAACATAATACAGGTGACACCCCATGACCCTTTCTGTGTGACCTAATGAAGGGAGCAATAGCCCATCACCTTGGCCATATTCTTTTGGTTAGAAGCAAGTCACATGCCCTGCCTCAAGGGGAGAGGATACATGGAGATCATGGGCCCATCTTAATATTCTGCCTACTGTAGTATTCTAATAAGACTTGAGATAGTAGAGGATAATTTTATCATGAAACTAGTTGGCAGAAAATTTCTATTTTAAGTTTTATTTTCCTTGAGTACCAACTTTTTTAGCATTTATAATAAAAACAGTATTTTTGAATAAATTATATTTCCTTTCTCATGAGGGAATAGAAATCAATCTATAAATTTGTTCCCCTTAGCCTAAGCCTCAAACTTCTGTGGGCTTTCTAGAATTATTGGGCTTTTTGGAGTGTGATGTGAGTACACATCGTTTACACACACTTTACTGAAACCCTTTTTATCCTCGTGGCAAAGTCTGGTAAATATGTCAACCTAAAGAAACTTAAATTCTTTTCTTTTTTTTTGTAGAGAGTCTTTGTTGCCCAGGCTAGAGTGCCATGGCGTCAGCCTAGCTCAGCGACCTCAAACTCCTGCCTCAGCCTCCCGAGTAGCTGGGATTACACGTGCACACCACCATGCCCGGCTAATCCTTTTTTTTTTCTACTTTTAGTAGAGACAGTGTCTCCGCTCTTGCTCAGGCTACTCTTGAACTCCTGACCGCAAGTGATCCTCCCTCCTTGGCCTCCCAGAGTGCTAGGATTATAAGCGTGAGCCACCTCACCTGGCCAAAACATGTTTCTTCTAAAAATAAATAATAGATTTCTTTTGGTTGCAATCTAAAAATATAAATAATTTAGGACCTGGAAAGAAACAAGCTTAGACTTAAACAAAAGAAGGCTTTGTTTCCTGGGAAAACTAAATGCAATGGGAAAAAATGAATTTTCAGTTAAATTTATATGCTCAAGTTGAAAATCTTGGTTTCTATCTTAGCTACATATTATCTAAGTTTGAATACAAATATAAATTTTTTTAATGCCTTTCACTTTTGGAAATGGTCACCTGGAGATAAGAGTGCTTTAGAAATTGTCATACTGGCTGGGCGTGGTGACTCACGCCTGTAATCCTAGCACTCTGGAAGGCCGAGGTGGATGGATTGCTCAATATCAGGAGTTCGAAACAAGCCTGAGCAAGAGTGAGACCCCATCTCAGCTAAAAATAGAAAGAAATTAATTCGCCAACTAAAAATATATATAAAAAAATTAGCCGGGCATGGTGTTGCATGCCTGTAGTCGCAGCTGCTCGGGAGGCTGAGACAGGATTGCTTGAGCCCAGGAGTTTGAGGTTGCTGTGAGCTAGGCTGACGCCATGGGACTCTAGCCCAGGCGACAAAGTAAGATACTGTCTCAAAAAAAAAAATTGTCATATCTATAAGAGGTAAGGGAGTGGATCAGTGGGACATCCCCAGAAACTTTTCCTGCATTCTAGGTTAATCCTTATAAAGTTACTTTTAAAGTAGGGGAGCAGTTTCTAAGCATTTAGGTTTTTTGGCAAAGCACCACATAACTTGGTAATGAGACTGATGAGGACCAGATGATTATCTACACTGAATAGACATCAAATCATCTGTCCTTTATTGGCGGCCTCAGTTGGGGTCCATCTATACACTAGAATCTCTTTTCCATGTATGATGTGTAAGTTGAATAAGAATCATTCTGCCTTTTGCACAAGGGAAAGTAGGAAAATTGTTAAAGTAACCAGAAGTCTGGAACTAGATTAAGTAAGGGTAATGTTTGTCTTTCCAATTTTTTTTTTATTAGTAACATGTGATGATAATGATAATGGTAGTGATGAAGGTAATTGGTTTCAGAAATGAGCAAATAATGCAACTAGCTAGGTTTTAAGGCTTACCTTTCTAGTTTTTAGAAATGAGGTTAGAAATAAGAAGAGTACAATAGTGACCAAAATTTCCCTGGGTTATCACTGTTAGTGTGGTTTGCACCTAGAATGACTCAGAAAGCTCATTACCCCTGTCTTCTGTAATGCAGCAGCAAAGCAGAGAGAATCAGTTTAACACAGGGATTTAGCCTTGGACAACTCAGAATAGTAAACATGTACTAAATCAAGGTTATTGGCAGTTATTTATGTCTGTAATCTGATTTTGGCAGATGAAAAAGTTGTTAGTTTGATTTGGAGCTCATGGAAACTTTTGCAAATTCATGATTAAGTATTCTTTTCCTATATTTAAAACTAAAAAATTTTCAGGACAAAGAGACTGGCTTTCACAAAGGTTTCGGTTGGGTTCAGTTTTCTACAGAAGAAGAACTTCAGAATGCACTACAACAGGAAAATCACTTCATTGATGGAGTAAAGGTAAATCTGTTTCTATATTGATAGTATCATGAGCTTTCTGTGTACCCATTACATAGGTCAGAAGTGTGGACTGGCAGGGACTTTGGGAGATTTGTAACCAACTGAAGCTGCCTTAATGCTTGTTAAAGAGTGGTGGTGGTGGTAGCGTGTCCAGTTTTAAAAGGTCTGGGGAAGGAAGTACGGGAGGACCCTTTAATGGGTAGCAAAGTATATTATAACACAGAACAGTGGAAACAGCAGTCTATTTTCAAGTCAGGCAAACTTGCAATGAAATCCTGGCTTTCCCACTTACAGTGTGATCTTGGTCCAAATTGTTTATAACTTTTAATGGGAATTTAGGGAGTCTTAAGAACAAGGAACACACAGCAGCTGCTTGAGTTATTGATACTGACTCCCTAATAAAAAGGCAAACTTAAAGTGGTAATTTTCAGTTTTAATGTTTTTAGACATTGCTTTTCCTTACAGTGCTTATTTGATATTTTTTTCTAGCTCTCCGTTCAAGCTCAAAGACCAAAAGTTTTTCATGGGGATCAAACATCTGATGGAGAGAAAGATTTTTAAGACCATTCCTGTATATTAAATAAAGTTAACTGAGAATTTTGTCTAAAGGGTTTTATTTGAAACAATAGTTGCACCAAGCAAGAGCTTACTTTCCCCAGTCCAAATTAAAACAGCACAATGGGGGGAAAAATGTCATTTGGTAGCACAGTTCCAATATGTGAATATCATCCTCATCACGGTTGGGGTAACTTTATTCATAAGCAATTGTTTGTACACAAAATATTAACCCCAAACTTCTAGTGTCACATAAAAGGAAGTGGTCTCAATTTTTTATGTGGGGCAGTATGTTCTATAAATGCCAAAAGGTGGGAGAAGGACAAACACAACCCACTCTTTAAAAAAACTAATTCAAAGTAGAATTTTCTATCCCCCTTTCTCCTGTAATAAAAAGTAGTGCTGGGATGTGTCACCCAGATTTGGTTTTATCCTGACCATTTACAAAGTATTCCCCATATGACTTGCATCATTAGGGTTTTGGATAATAGTTCATTCACTTTGAAGAGACACGTGTCTACTCCTTCCTCCTCTTCTTGCCTTCATGCTCATGCTCCTTGGGGCGGCTGCTATCTGAAGGTCTTTTAGAGCCACCATGCTGTTTGGCTTCTTCCAAAAACTTGTCCAAGCCAAAAGGATCTTCCTCAAACTGAACTGGTCCTTCTCTGCCTCTCTGCCTACGGTCTGAACCGGAAAATTCCTTGTCAGGAACAAATCTAGGGAAAAAGAGAAAGGACTATGAACTACTTTGTTTTCATGGGTGTAAACATTGATAGTGAGGTGTCTCACTTGGTACCTGTTGGTCTTTATTCTGGCTTCTAGGTCATCACCATACATGTCCTTGTCCAGATTTTTACTGGGCCTATAAATACTCTGGGCCATATCTTTACCACCTCTCCAGGCTTGATCATAAACATTGTAAATTTCATCTTCTCCACCTGCAAATCCACTGTCCATACCCTGTGGAAAAAAGGATATTAAAGATGTATACAATATTTTTATTAAAAGCAAAATCTGATAACATTCACATGAAGAGTAAACCCTTGCTGATGTTTTCAATAATCTGAACTACAAATTTTAAAAAGGTCTTCATTAAACTCAAAGCGCATGTAAACTTTTGTTTCTATCACCTTTTGGTCCTTACCCAGAGGCTTAGATTAAACAAGGTTAACTCATTATAAGAGTTTAATTACTCTAGTCACTGGAATTGCAGGATGCTACTATAAGCATAAACTTGACAATTTCAATTTGTATAGACACAATGGCAAGATGATGAAAGAATTCTTAAACATTTCTGTGTTATGCTCCTTAACTGCTTAAGAATATCACTATTACAGCCATAAGAAAGTTCTCCATGTTAAGTCAACAAGAAACAATAGAAAAATTTTCATCACAACTATTTATTTATTTGAGACAGAGTCTCACTTTGTTGCCCAGGCTGGAGTGACAGCCTAGCTCACAGCAACCTCAAACTCCTGGGCTCAAGCAATCCTCCTGCCTCAGCCTCCCAAATAGCTGGGACTGCATGTGCCACCATGCCCTGCTAATTTCTATATATATTAGCTGGCCAATTAATTTCTTTCTATTTATAATAGAGACAGGGTCTTGATCTTGCTCAGGCTGGTTTCAAACTCCTGGCCTCGAGCAATATGCCCACCTCAGCCTCCCAGAGAGCTAGGATTACAGGCGTGAGCCACCACATCCGGCCTCATCACAACTTTTAAAGCTTGTGACAGGTGACTGCCTTGAAAATATTTACTTATGTGGAAATTTCATCCCCATACACCTTTGCTCAGGCTGATAAGTTGCCATTGCACAGTGTTTAAGAACAAAGCTTTGGAAAAAGACACCCAAGTTTGAATCTTAATTCCATCAGTTAACTAGCTAGCTAAACTTCTCTGTCTCAATTGCCTTATCTACACCATTGAGATAATAATAGTATGATTTTATAGGGTTTTTCTAAGGATTAAGTGAGATGATACAAGTAAAAACAAGACCGATCCCTGCATTCCTATGGTTGAAAAATAAGGGAAAAAAATTAAGAATAAAAATTATTACAATAAATGAAAAACATTATTAAAAAAATAAATACAAAAAAAAGACCGAGAACAATGCCAGGAATATAAAAAGCATCTAACTTATGAATTATTATTATTATTACTTAGAAGGGCTTACTCAAATACTACTAAGAAGATAGATATACATCTTCTCCTATAGACTATGGGTTATTTGAGAGCAAAGATGCCTTCAAAGATCTTTGATCTTACTGACTTACGCATAGTTAGTAGTCAGTGTTATATGAATTAAAATACAAAGATACTTCTCCCAGGCCTAAAGTGTCCTAGTTAGTTAATCACAACTGGTATTAGAAATCTGATTTCCTCACTCTGAGAGGCCGAGGCGGGCAGATTGCTCGAGGTCAGGAGTTCCAAACCAGCCTGAGCAAGAGCGAGACCTCGTCTCTACTGTAAATAGAAAGAAATTAATTGGCCAACTAACATATATATAGAAAAAATTAGCTGGGCATGGCGGCACATGCCTGTAGTCCCAGCTACTGGGGAGGCTGAGGCAGGAGGATTGCTTGAGCCCAGGAGTTGGAGGTTGCTGTGAGCTAGGCTGACGCCACGCACTTACTCTAACCATGGCAACAAAGCGTCTCGACTCTGTCTCAAAAAAAAAAAAGAAATCTGATTTCCTGAAAATCAGTCTAGTACTTTAATCCAGTTTTACAGCTTCACTTTTCAAAGATTCTCAAGTTCACATATTTCTATAGCATTAAAAAAAAATCCAAGAGGTACTTTTGTAGGACACTGGCTCTGTTTTACAACAAAAGACTGATAGAACCAAGTTTTGTCACCTAATTTCTTTCATTTTCTGTTATTGTCCCAAATTTTAGCCAACTGTTAAGCGGTCACAATTAGGTTGGTCCGAAGGTAGTGAGTCATCTCACGTGATTGTTCAGTCAGTTACAGATTGAACTCCTTGTTCTACTACTTTCCCCCCTCCTCACACTACTGCACTTGACTAGTCTTAAAAAAAAAAAAGGAGGTCACAATCAGAACTATTTCATCTTATATGTATCTTAAGTTACAACAAACAACTTCAAATTTTTTTCTGTCATCATACTGGCAAACCTTAGGCTGATCTACATCTAAGATAATTATCTTTCTCCTGAGGATTGTTATTCGTATCAACACACAATATACGCTGCTTTGAAACTCACTGTACCTTGGATTGGTTGAAGAGCCTTTGGTCATACTGAACGTCATTGGAAGTCCGAGGATTGGGCACACCAAGAGCAATGACTTCACTGATATCCCGATTTTCATTTCTCTGAAGTTTCGACCTATTTTGAAATATGATATCACTAATTGAAAACTCTTTACAAGCTGAATATATTCAATTTAAATACAACCATTCTCAGAACAAAGAAAATGACTATGTCATGTTCATATCTGGTGAATATATACTCCCTGATAATGCACAATCAGGCTGTCAGCCCTTACAGGATTTCAGATTATGTGATTAGAGGTAGATTTTACAATTAGGATTTCCTGTTAGCTCAAAAAAACACCCAAGAGACTCATTCTTTTTTTTTTTTACAGAGTCTCGCTCTTTTGCCCGGGCTAGAGTGCCGTGGCATCAGACTGGCTCACAGCAACCTCAAACTCCTGGGCTCAAGCAATTCTGCTGCCTCAGACACACGGCACCATGCCCAGCTAATTTTTTCTATATATTTTTAGTTGGCCAATTAATTTCTTTCTATTTATAGTAGAGACAGGGTCTCTCTCTTTGCTCAGGCTGGTTTCTAACTCCTGATCTCGAGCAATATGCCTGCCTTGGCCTCCCAGAGTGCTAGGATTGCAGGCGTGAGCAGCCACCGCACCAGGCTCAAGAGACTCATTCTTGACATGGAAATATTTTTTTCTTTTCTTTTTTTTTTTTTTCAGCAGTACGCTTTCATTTATTTTTTGATTTCAAAATATTAAGGGGGTACAAATGGTTTTGTCACATAGATACCTTTAATTTTTATTTTTCTTAAAGACAGGGTCTTGCTCTGTCGCCCTGGCTTAAGTGCAGGGACACAATCATAGCTCACTGTAACCTCCAACTCTTAGGCTCAAGTTATCCTCTTACCTCAGCCTCCCAAGTAGCTGGGACTATAGGTACGTGCCATCATGTTCAGCTAATTTTTCTTATTTTTTTTGCAAAGACAGAGTCTGACTGTATTGCCCAGGCTGGTCTTGAACTGACCTCAGGCAATCCTCCTGCCTTGGCATCCTGAAGTGCTTAGATTACAGGTGTGAGCCACCATATCCAGCCTTTGACATGGAAGTTTTAAATATAAGTAATCACCTTAAAACCATGCTGAGATATGAAATTGTTACGGTTTATATTTGCTATTATTATAGAAGGGTTTAGGAATTGGGGAAATAGATGCAAATGAGATGCATCACTTCAATTACTTTCAATAAGTTAGAATCAGCTTTTATTTAATCATATTTAGTCATTTTATCCTACTAGAAATTTTTTTTTTTGAGATAGTCTCTTTGTTGCCCAAGCTAGGGTAAGTGCCGTGGTGTCAGCCTAGCTCACAGCAACCTCAAACTCCTGGGCTCAAGCAATCCTCCTGCCTCAGCCTCCCAAGTAGCTGGGACTACAGGCATACACCACCATGTCCGGCTCATTTTTTCTATATATGTTAGTTGGCCAATTAATTTCTTTATAGTAGAGATGGGGTCTTGCTCTAGGCTCAGGCTGGTTTCGAACTCCTAACCTTGAGCAATCTGCCTGTCTCGGCCTCCCAGAGAGCTAGGATTATAGGCGTGAGCCATCGCGCCCGGCCCTACTAGAATTTTGAGGAAAATCTCAATGACTAGATTATTCGGTAAGAGGTTTTTTTTTTTTTGAGACAGAGTCTTGCTTTGTTGCCTAGGCTAGAGTGAGTGCCGTGGCATCAGCCTAGCTCACAGCAACCTCAAACTCCTGGGCTCAAGCGATCCTTCTGTCTCAGCCTCCCAAGTAGCTGGGACTACAGGCATGAGCCACCATGCCCGGCTAATTTTTTCTATATATATTAGTTGGCCAATTAGTTTCTTTCTATTTATAGTAGAGACGGGGTCTCGCTCTTGCTCAGGCTGGTTTCGAACTCCCGACCTCGAGCGATCCTCCCGCCTCGGCCTCCCAGAGAGCTAGGATTACAGGCGTGAGCCACCGCGCCCGGCACGGTAAGAGTTTTGATATTCAGATTAATTTAATTCTCCTGCTGTTTAACTATGTATGAAATCTACATTCCAGTGAAACTATGGTAACTGTAATCACTTATTTTACTAGAAGCTCAGACCCTAAAATGATTTCTATAGACAATTTGGCTTTCATTCAATCACAACTTTACAGCTTTTCTATGTTATCAATTCTCATAGCCACTTTACTGGTTTTTTTTTTTTTTTTGAGACAGAGTCTCGCTTGTTGACCAGGCTAGAGTGAGTGCCGTGGCGTCAGCCTAGCTCACAGCAACCTCAAACTCCTGGGCTCAAGCAATCCTTATGCCTCAGCCTCCCGAGTAGCTGGGACTACAGGCATGCCCACCATGCCAGCTAATTTTCTATATATATTAGTTGGCCAATTAATTTGTTTCTATTTATAGTAGAGACGGGTCTCGCTCTTGCTCAGGCTGGTTTCGAACTCCTGACCTCAAGCAATCCGCGGGATTACAGGCGTGAGCCACCGCGCCCAGCTACTTTACTGGTTTTAAAGGGCCCAAATTATCTACAGAGCAGCGATCCTCAACCTTTTTGACACCAGAGACTAATTTCATGGGAGACAGTTTTTCCTACAGGGAAGTACGAGGCCTGGATCTCTGGCATGTGCAGTTTGCAGTGGGGTTTGTGTTCCCAAGAGGGTGTGATGCCACTGACGGGGGGGGGGGTTTGGGGACCGCAGCTATAGAGCCATTTTAATTTTTTTTTTTTTTGAGACAGAGTCTCACTTTGTTGTCCAGGCTAGAGTGAGTGCCGTGGCGTCAGCCTAGCTCACAGCAACCTCAATCCTGGGCTCGAGTGATTCCTTCTGCCTCAGCCTCCCGAGTAGCTGGGACTACAGGCATGTGCCACTATGCCGGCTAATTTTTTATATTAATAATCAGTTGGCAATTAATTTCTTTCTGTTTTAAGTAGTAGAACGGGTCTCGCTCTTGCTCAGGCTGGTTTTGAACTCCTGACCTTGAGCAATCCCCCCCCGGCCTCCCAGAGCTAGGATTACAGGCGTGAGCCACAGCGCCCGGCCGGCATTTTAATTTTTATAACTCAGGAATTTCCAACCAACAGTGTCATTAATTAAACACTTTCACACTTCATTCTTCTACACTGTGCATTTACCCAAAACTTATAATTAAGACTTTCTGCTTCTCCATCACTTCACTTATCCAGGGAGATAAAATATGCTGATTAAACAACAAAGAACACCAGCAAGAATCTTTTCTGATGCTTAAGATATGACTTAGAAAAAATAAACAATATCAACTCATAGGATGATCAGAGCATGGAAAACTTCATTTGGGAAGAAAATGTCTTATATTTGCATTTAACTCTCACTCAGAATTCCACTTTCAAATGGTGGCATTTCCTCAACTTTTCAGCAATTTTAATCCTCAGCCTTTGGTGAACCACAAACTTTCTCACTCCCTACTTTATTCTATGCTCTGATACATGTATTTGGTTTGTTCCATACAAGTTTGTATTTATTAAAAGTGCTGTGTAAATTTTCCCAAATTATTTTATCTGAGAGCTCTATATTTCTAAATTTTAGGATAAATTGTTCATTTTTCACGTCTTTCAAAATCTGCTCTTTTTCCCATTATACTGGGTACAATGCTCTGCATATGAAAGGATCTCAATAAAGGTATGGCAGCTTATTTCCTGTCTAGAGGAATAGGCACTTAATCAATTTGTCTAACCATTTGAGGTAAGAAAAGAACAAGCCAGAAGACCCATTCACTACTTCCTTTTCACAAACATGATCTGAATTCCTTTTTCTGTATCCTCATTATTGTCAATTCTAACTGATGCTAGAAGATGATGAAAGAAAAGATTATTTCCAGGGACAGTCACTTCTGCTAAGACTAAGTGTAAGAAAATTAAGTGCTAATTTATTGTTATCAAATTAAAGAGGAAAAGGAGAGAAGCAAAGCTGATCTTAGTGGACTAACTGTCCTCTAAAAAGGTAGAAAAAGCCCACTCTTCATAATTTGTATGTATCTCAAATAGCACCTACCTCTTATCAGGAGCGGCCCTAGAAAGATTCCGGTCATGCTGTCTTTCTTTTCGCCTATCGTGCCGGATTTCGTCCCTTTCACGTGCCTCCCCATCCTCTGTGTGGACACAGTTGAAAATGACTTTATCATTATATTATCTATTAACATTTTGAATAAAAGAATATTATTTAGAAAATTCCATGAACTTTGTAGTCACACTCAATCTTTTAAAACTTACTTGCAATCAATTTAAATCCAATAAATAGTTTAATTTTTGAATGTGAATGGTAGAATCATGCATGTAGCTAAAGTGTTTAGGGGTAAAGTATACTGCTGTCTTCAACTTTTGAAATGCAAAGTTGTAAGCTGGATTAAAAGAGGAATAGAGAGATGGGTAGATATGTGATAAAACATTTTGCAATGTTTATTTTACTTTAAACAAACTTCCTATTGTTACATAACATTAATATATTCTGGTTATCAATACCTTGTCAGATGGATAGTTTGCAGATTTATTCTCTCCCATTCTATATGTAGGTTATGTCTTCAATCTGTTTCCTTTGCTGTGCAGAAGCTTTTTAACTTGATGCAATCCCATTTGTCTCTTTTTGCTTTTGTTTCCTACGCTTTTGAGGTCTTACCCAAAAAAATCTTCGCCCAGACCAATGTCCTGTAGTGTTTCTCATGTTTTCTTCTAGTAGTTTCATAGTATCAGGTCTTAACATTTAAGTGTTTAAGCCATTTTGATTTTATTTTTGTACATGGTGAGAGATAGGGGTCTAATTTCACTCTATTGTACAGGAATATCCAGTTTTCCCAGCACCCTTATTAAACAGCCTGTACTTTCCCCAATGTTATGTTCGTGGTGCCTTTGTCAAAAGTGAGTTGGCTGTAAATGCATGTATTTATTTCTGGATTCTCTATTCAGTTCCATTGGTCTATGTGTCTCTTTTTATATCAGCACCATGTAGTCTTTGCTACTATAGGTTTGTAATGTATTTTGAAGTCAGGCAGTGTGATGCCTCCAGCTTAATTTTTTGCTTAGGAGTGCTTTGGTATTCAGAGTCTTTTATGGTTCTATTTGAATTTTAGGATTGCTTGTCATTGGTATTTTGATAGGGACTGCATTGAATCTGCAGATTGCTTTGGGTAGTATGGACATTCTAACAATATTAATTCTTCCAATCCATGAGAACAGGGTTAATCTTCCCATATTTTTATGTTCTCTTCAGTTTCTTTCATCAGCATTTTAATTCATTGTAGAGAACTTTCACTTCTTTGGTTAAATTTATTCCTAGGTATTTTATTTTTTTGTAGCTATTGCAAATGAAATTGCTTTCTGGATTTCTTTTTCAGATTGTTTGCTATTGGTGTATAAAATGCTACTGAATTTTGTATGTTGATTTTGTACCCTGCAACTTTACTAAATTCATTTATCAGTTCTAACAGTTTTTTGGTGGAGTCTTTAGGTTTTTCTAAACATAGGATCATGTCATCTGCAAACAAGGATAATTTGACTTCTTTCCAATCTGGTTGTCCTTTATTTCTTTCTCTTGCCTAAGTGCTCTCACTAGGACTTCTAGTACCATGTTGAATAAAAGTGGTGAGAGTCTCCATGTATTGTTTCAGATTTTAGAGGAAAATCTTTCAATTTTCCCCTATTCAGTATGATGTTAATTGTGGGTTTGTCATACCTGGCCTTTATCATTTTGATGTATGTTCCTTCTATACTCAGTTTGAGAGTTGTTTTTTTTTTTTTTTATCATGAAGGGATGTTAAATTTTATCAAGCACTTTTTTTCAGCATCTATTGAACTGATGATATGTTTGTTCCTGACTGTTAAATGTGGTATGTCATGTTTATTGATTTGTGTATGTTGACCCATCCTTGTATCCCTGGGATGACTCCCGCTGGATCATGATGAATGATTTTTTTGGTGTGTTGTTGAATGTGATTTGCTAGCATTTTGCTGACGATTTTTGCATCTGTGTTCATCAGGGATATCGGCCTATAGTTTTCTTTTTTTGTCCTTGTCAGGTTTTGCTAACAGGGTATCCTGGCCTCAAAGAATGAGTTTCCTCTTCATGGGCTTTTCTTGGATGGAAGCATATTAATTGTTAAAGAAATATTAACTGTAGAATCTAGATGGTGATGGATATGGTGATCATCATACAATTCTTTTAATTTTTCTGTATGTTTGAAAATTTTCATAATAAAATGAGAAAAATGAATTATGTGTAAGTTTTCCCTTATAGTTTCAACGATTTTATTGAATAAAGAACCTTTTGCTTATGTTCCACAAGGGCTGGCTGTATTTTGATCTCTACTGCATTTATGTCTATCTTCACTTTCTCTACCCTTGCCAGTTTGAGGAGTTGCAACGTAGTTAAGAGCATGAGCTTTGGAACTAACCTATCTGGATTCAAATCTAGTTTCTATGATAAATTAGCAATGTGACCTCATGCAGGTTACTTAACCACTGTGAGCCTTAGTTTCCTCTATAAAATAGTGACAATAATAGTACCACTGCACTATTGCCATAGGGATTGTGAGGTAATGAATGTAAAGTCCCCAGAGTAGCACCTGCCATAATAAGCACTCAAATGTTAGTTTTTACCTGGCAACAGAATTTTCAAAATTTTAATTCCTCAAGAACTACTCTGTTTTGTTTTTTTTAAAAAAATCAGTTTAGAGAACTTAGATACAGTAAGTTTTACTTCTAGTTACCTTCAGTGGCTAGGTATACAACAGGCAGGTATTTGTATTTTGCCACATTAAGTCATTTATGCATGATTCAGGGAACTAGATCACTACTTACAACCTTGTTTACTTGCCTGTAGTTGAACTCTACACTTCTATAACCTTGATACCTTCATCTTAAACTTAACCTATCCTCAATTAAATTCCTTATCTTTTCCTCCCAAATCTGTTCCTCCTGCTGTCCTCCCAACATTAGTAAATGGCAACTTAATCCTTCCCAGTTGCCAAGGACAAAAGTTCTGGAGTCATCCTTGACTCCTACTTTTTTCTAATACCTCTACCTAATCCATAAGCAAATTTTGTTAGCTCTACCTTCCAAATACATCCAATATCTGACATGTTTTCATCACCTCTTGTTATCATCTCTCACCTGGTTTATTGCAATAGCCTTCCACATAGCTTCCCTGTTTCTGCCCATGCCCATTCCACAATCTTGTATTTTTAACACAGCATCCAGTGTGATCTTTTAAAAATATATGTTAGGGGAAATGTTGGTCAAAGGGAACAAAGTTTTATTTATGCAGGATGAATGAGTTCTGGAGATCTAATGTACTGTATGGTAATAACAGTTAACAGTCCTGCATTATATACTTGAAATTTGCTGAAAGAGTAGATATTCATTTTTCTTACCAAAAATTTTAAAAAGTAACTATATGAGGACAGTCATATGTTAATTAGCTTGGAAGTGACAAACATTTCACCATGTATTCATATATCAAAACATCACGTTGTACACTTACTTTCTTCTGCTTCAGCTTGGTAAAGTGGAAGTTACTCTCCTTTCTTAGATCATTTCTGAAACATCTAAATTTTCTTACCACCTTTGTTTGTGGTTTTAGAAAACCAGGTTTTCTAAAATTAGATATATATTGTTCACAATGTAAATTCAACCCAGTAACGACAATGCCTTACCTTTTTCCACATGGGTTTTGATCCCAGCTCTCCTCTCCCTGGCTTTCTGGGCCATTTCTCTAAGTTTCTCTTCATGTTTCTCCTTTTCTTTCTGAGCCATTTTTCTCTCTACTTGGGCACGCATTTCCACAGCTTCACGGGCCTGTTAGTAAAGTCAGACATTAAACAGGAAAGTACCACTGGATAAGCATTTACAGTTACCATCCAACTCTATAAAGTCTGGACCAGGCGTCCTCAAACTACGGACCATGGGCCACATGCTGCCTGCCTAGGACATTTATTGGGCCCACAGGGTGTTTCTGCCCACAGTGTGCACTCTCCAATGGTCTGAGGGACAGTGAACTGGCCCCCTGTTTAAAAAGTTTGAGGACCCCTGGTCTGGACTGTAAGAGCATTTATACAGAATTCAGATTTGTTACTGCTGATTAAAACGAAGATTCTTGTCCACTAAAAATATATACTGCCTAGAAGATACTTCAAGGTTAGCATTTTTTACTCTGAAAATGTTTTAGTGGTTGAAACCGTAGAGATTCAGCCAATCTTATAAATAAAATATTTCACTAGTGCTTTCTGAAAAACAATCCAAAAGGCTGAGTGCATTGTGGTTCGTGCCTATAATACTAGCACTTTGGGAGGCTGAGGCAGGAGAGGATGGTTTGAGGCCAGGATTTTTAGACCAACCTGAGCAACATAGCGAGATCCCGTTTCCACAAAAAAATAGACACATTAGCTGGGAAGTTGAGACAGGAAGACTGCTTGAACCCAGGAGTTTGAGACTGCAGTGAGCTGTAGATAGTGAGCTACTGCACTCTAGCCTGGGCAATAGAGTGAGACCTTGTCTCAAAAAAAAAACAACAACCAAAAACAAACAAAAAACCCCCAAAACCAAAATTAAGACACCAGTAAAGCAATTTCCATTATCAATAATATAATGGGAACTGGTTAAATTTTCAAGATCAATCAAGTCAACTCAAGATAAAACTTTAGCCTGTATCTCCTAGAGAGTTTGTATAAAAATCTGATAGAAGAGACATGCTTTTCTATGTTCTAAACACATGCCATGATTGTGTGTGAACTTGAAGGTCACATATTAATACCATAATATATAATATTAATAGATGGTCAAAACTATTAATGCCATTTTATGTAGCATCCAAGTCATTAGAATGCTTATCTGCCCTCTCTGGCAACTGCCCTGTTAGGGGACATCTATATCTCAAATAGAGGAAAATTACGAAATCTACAATAGCACGAGCAATCTTCACAAAATGGGATCAGGCTAGTGAACCATTATTCCAGCATGTTGTGAAGGAGCTAGATCACAGCTGGTAGGTGTGTGTACATGTCTACTTGCCCACTCTGGCACATGTACCACAAGTGAGACTCTCTCTGGGTACTCAGTATTGTAGCTAAATTACCAGTACCTTAGGTAACCAAGAACAGATTTTAAAAGTATCAAGAGCATTAAACAAGTAAATTATAACAGACTAACCTTCCGATCAGCAATGTAGAGAGCTTCAGCCAGTTTGGCAAAATTTTCATTTATGTGCACTGTCTGTAGTCCTCTTCCATCAGCAGCCAGACGTTTATCTAATGGAATTGTATAACCCTAGTGTGAAAGCAGACAGAAAACTGTTCTCAAAAAAAAAAAAAAAAAAAAAAAAAAAAAATCGGTGAATTATAATAAAGAAAATAGCCTGTCCAAAAGGCTAAACAGCCTGGCAAGGTCACCAAATCTAGCCCCCAGAAGCTCAGAAGGCTAAGATGATATATGTATCCCGTAATACCTGCCACTCCCACTCTTAATCTAGTGGTGGAAGAACGGTCTCAGAACTGTTTTGTTCAATTGGCCATTTAAGTTTTAATAGTAAAAGACTGGTTGTAATAACAATGCATCGTAAAACCTCAGAAGAAAGGGAGAATGTTTGTGGAGCCACTTTTGTTCTTTTTGTTGTGGCAGTTTTAAGTTATTAGTTTTAAATCAGTACTTTTTAATGGAAACAACTTGACCAAAAATCTGTCACAGAATTTTGCAGACCCCATTAAAACAAGTTTAATGAGAAAAAAAAAATCAGTAATAAAATAAAAAAAAAAAAAACAATACAAAAGCTAAACAGTTGCTCCTCAAGTAAATAGCCATACAATACAATACAAAAAGGAGAATAAATTACTTTAATCTTAGTCTATAGGTAGTTAATCTGGTGTACTGTCTTAATGACTTGTAGATTCTTAAAACCCTCTAAATTTTAGAAAAAAGAAAATAATGATAAAGTTTATTGAAAACTAAGATTCTACATGAAATTTTTGTCCCATTTCAATAACTCAAGGAATATGCTTGAATATCCATGTAACTTTCAGGTTTAGCTTTATTCTTCCAGGATTCTGACTAGACTCCCCTAGGTCCATGGTCTCCTAATAAAATGAAGTGTTACAGAACCCACTCTGGATACTCAGTTGCATACATATTAATCAATCCCAATTAGACCAGTCAACAACCTTTTCTTAAGGATGAGTACATAAACTTCTTTAAGGAAGTTAAAGGCTTTCTTCACCCATCAAAAATGAAATCATGAGGCTAGGCATGATGATTTACGCCTATAATCCTAGTACCTTGGTGATTGTTGGCCAGGAGTACCAGACTAGCCTGAGTAACAGAGAGACTCGGACTCTACAAAAAATAGGAAAAATTAGCCAGGTGTGGTGCATGTGCTTACAGTCCCAGCTACCAGAAAGCTGAGGCAGAAGGATTGCTTGAGCCCAGGAGTTTGAAGTTGCTGTGAGCTATGATGAAGCCACTGCCCTCTAGCCAGGCAACAGAGCCAGACTCTGTCTCAATCAATGAATGAATGAATCCAATCATGAAATATGGAAGAGAGGAAAGTGATTATGAAATTAATCACACATTTTACAGATTCTTAACAACTCCTGGAAGCTTTGGCAATTAGTATAGATATATAGGATTTAAATAGCTTAAGTCTTCAATGTTATAAATAAACAAATAGTTGAAAATTAAAGCACTGAAAATATCCAAATATTTACTCTGTTCTTTTGTCAAATGATCCTTTAGACCGGTTTAATTTCTTTCAGAAATAATTTTTTTATATAATTTGAATTTTCTAAAGAATACCATCTCACATTGATAGGTACTTTATCCTACTTATTCCTTTTCTGTTTGTTTCTGATAGCTGCAATTCACTAAAAGAATCTACGTGGCGGCCGGGCGCAGTGGCTCACGCCTATAATCCTAGCTCTCTGGGAGGCCGAAGCGGGCGGATTGCTCAAGGTCAGGAGTTCAAAACTAGCCTGAACAAGAGCGAGACCCCGTCTCTACTATAAAAAATAGAAAGAAATTAATTGGCCAACTAATATATATAGAAAAAATTAGCCGGCATGGTGCGCATGCCTGTAGTCCCAGCTACTCGGGAGGCTGAGGCAGTAGGATGCTTGAGCCCAGGAGTTTGAGGTTGCTGTGAGCTAGGCTGATGCCACGGGACTCACTCTAGCCTAGGCAACAAAGCGAGACTCTGTCTCAAAAAAAAAAAAGAATCTACGTGGTATTAATGTGCCTGGCATACTAGTATTTCTATGGCCAGGCACAGTGGCTCACGCCTGTAATCTTGCACCCTGGGAGGCTGAGGCAGGAGGATCACTCAAGGTCTGGAGTTCGAAACCAACCTGAGCAAGAGCAAGGCTCCATCTCTGCTAAAAATAGAAATAAATTAATTGGCCAACTAAAAATATATAGAAAAAATTAGCCAGGCATGGTGGCACGTGTCTGTAGCCCAGCTACTTGGAGGCTGAGGCAGTAGGATCGCTTGAACCAGAAGTTTGAGGTTGCGTGTGAGGCGGGTAGGGCTGATACAGATGCGACTCTAAGC